GATATTGAGGAGTTAAAGGTTTCAGTGCAGCTAATTTTGGAGCAGTTACCCGCCACCCCACCCAGATCGCCTGGTACCGGCAATGCTCAAAATCGTGATCATCCACCTCCACAATGGCATTCCTTCACCAATCACCTTCCCAAATTGGATTTTTCTTTCTTCTCCGGTTCAGATCCTCATTCATGGTTGCGGAAGTGTAATAAGTAGGGGGTGGTAATTGATTTTGTGGTTATCAGTTTAATCGACAACCCAAATGATCAAGACAATTATCAGTTTAGCCGATAATCGATAAAGAAAACACAATTCAGTTATCGGTTAGGGTTATTGTCTTATTGATTAAATTGATAACCGATACATCACTTAGTGGTTAACCAACAAGGAAACCATTAAGCGACCTCTACTTAAATTAGAACTACGCTTACCAAACAGATCTAAATAACCATGCTCAAACTCGACCCATTTTGAGTTTTGAGGATCAAACCGAACCCAATCTCAATATTTTAACATTGGTCTAAATCTTGACAATAGTCAGCCATATTTTTACCTCATCCTACCAAGACCCACCATAATACCACAACCAAATCCAACCAGTTCATCATATAATAGCTTTGTGCTCGATCATATTCATTGGCCGAATAATTTAACTATTAATCATTTTTTTATGCGAAATTAAAAAAAACTTTCATTAAGCGCTAACGCCAGCTCTCATCAGGAAAAACCTGATGTGCCTCTCAAACCTTTACAAACGATTGCTATGAAAAAACAATAAAAAAACAGTTACTATAAGCTAACAATCTTTCCTAGTTCTAACTAAAGGGCATGATCTCAAGATACTCGATAAAGAACATCTTCATTCACAAGCTGCACTAACTCCCCAGGGTTCTTAATTGGTTTCGTCCCATACATCCTGGTACATCGCTCTCGCCAAACATGGCTAAGAGTGACACTCCATATCAACCTGCATAAACACTTCGTGGGGCTCTTCATTGTCCACTTCTGCACATACTAGGACACTAAACCTTCCCAGTCCTCTGTAGCAGCTGGGGAATGACAACGTAAACTTTTTTGCAACAAACACAGTATAAGAACAGGACGCAAGTAGATGATCTCTTCTTTCGACTCCTCCTGGACCTAAAAAGCACATCCCCGACATTGGTTTCCCCCATGACTGCAACTTGTCTTGAGTAACAAGTCTATTCTGCATTGCTAACCACACTAGGAGTCCATGTCGAGGAATAATTTCCTTAGCCAACACAAGCTTCCACCAGGTAACCTCCTGTGAATGGCAACGAATAGAGTTCCAAACTTTTGTGACATAATACTTCTACATCTGCTCCCCCTGCCACAACACATTAGGGGCAGTACCAGAGACAAATGGAGAAGTCAGATCCCTACATTTCAGAAACCTCTTCCAAATCCAGGTTCAGAGATCTCCAAAATAGTCTTTTGCTTTAACCTATACCTTGTGATCCATGTCGCCCACAATGGGCCCCCTGATGTTAATATATCCCAAATGTGTCTCAAAATGCAGGCCTTATTCTATAGACTGAAATTACAAATTCCAAGCCTTCCTTCTTGTTTTGGTATCGCCAACTTGTCCCATGCCATTACCGCCCTCTTTCTGATATCATTCTCAACAGAGTCTCACAGAAACTCATTACACAACCTCTCAACTTCCTTAATGATAAACTGAGGCAGCAGAAAAATATTAAGCTAGTATTGAAGTGTGCTAGAAATCACAATAGAGATGAGTTGTACTTTCCCAACATAGCTCAACAATCTAGAACTCCAACTACATAATCTTTGAGTGATTTTGTCTACGAGAACTTGACAATCTTTCCTTGTGAGCTTCCCTGTATGAGTGGTACCCTTAGATATTTCACTAGCAGACTACCTAAGGGGAATTATGTCCAATCTGATATAGAACAATCTTTCCTTGTTGGGTTGCATCCAGTCCCGATAGTTTATAAAAACTATCCATTAATTAACCTCCTTATCCCTACAACCCCTTTTATTGACCCATTTGTAGACACCATGAGGTTATCCGCAAAGCATAGATAGGTGATCATAAGAGGCTCACATCTAGGATGAAATGGTGTCTGATTCTAAGTGACTGCTTTCCTAGTCAAACAATCTAGAACTTCCATAGCAGTCGTAAAGAGATAGGGACACAAAGGATCTTCCTGCCTCAGTCCTTTACATGCCTTAATATCACCACATAGACCCCAATAAGTGATACTTTAATTGGTGGAGTTGTAATACAAGCAGAGAGTAAATTTAGAAAGCCAGAAGGAAACCCCATTACAATGAACATAAATCTCCAATTAACATAATCAAACGCCTTCATGATGTCTATTTTAACCACACACCTAGGAGTAACATTCTTTCTATGGTAATCCCTCACAAGCTCAGAAGCCAGTAAAATATTATCACTGATAGCCCTTCCTTTTATAAATGCATACGGTGATCGACTAGTAACACTAGGAACCACCAATTCAAGCCGATTTGCTAGCAGTTTAGATATCCCTTTATACAAGGTATTACAACACGATATATGTCTAAAATTCATCATTTTCTCATAACAAGGTAACTTAGTCATCAATATGAAAATTGTATTGTTCACAATTACTCTTCAATTTGTTTTCCAATAATATTCCAATGATCTTTGAAGAATTCAGCAGGGGAAAAAAAAAGGTGTAGGTGCCTTATCCTTGCCTAATTTTTGAAACACTTGCTTGATACCTGCTCGAGTAATTCCTCTCATTAGCATATCTCCTTTTTCAGAAGATAAGTTGTGTTGCAGGATTTCTTGATATAATTCCACTGACTTTTGCTCCACATTAGGATCTTAGAACCGATCAGCTTAGAATAAAAATCTACTACAATAACCTATATACCCTGTACACCAGTTACCACATCCCTTTGATAATTTACCATTCGAATAATCTGTTGTCTTTGTGTTTTGATCTTAACTGTTTTATGAAAGAACGAGGTTTTAGAATCCCCTTCTTGAATTGCCTGGACTCTAGACTTTTGTTTGTAATACAAATCTTCTACTCTTTTTAATGTCACACATTCCAGATTAAGTCTCTTTTCCTCAACTATAAGCTCTTCAGTGGGATTATAATATCCAGAACTGCCATCTAAGCTACTTCCAGTGCTGCTCCTGCTTCTTTCACCCTAACTGAGATATCAGAATACTCTGCTCGATTCAACCTTTTCACCTCTACCAATATCTGAATAAAATGTTCTCCTTCTTCAACACGAGTAACCTTCAATCCTGCCCTCTAGAATATCCACACTCTCCCAGACTTAGACTTAGAGTAATTATCTAAATGTTATGACCCAATATAATTATTCAATAATATAATTACATAATTTTCATCTAATTAATATTATATAATTATGACCCATTACATCCTTCAAATTTGTGTTTTTATTTTGTAATATGCGAAACGTTCTCCGGGGCAACATTCGATGCCGTTTGTATGCTGTGTGGATGGGGCAGTCTCGAATGGGTCAAATGGTGCAGGTGGTGTATTGGTTCAGGATGCGATGGGGGGTATACGTTTTGTCAAGGGGTTTTATTATGCAGGTCTCGTGGATCCCTTCCTAGTGAAATTAGTTGCCACCCACGATCCGATTCTTTGGTGCTATTTGAAGGGTTTTACTGAGGTGATGTTTTGCGGGGATGCGAAAGTGGTAATTGAGAAAATTCAGAGGAGGGATGTTTGAGATGTTAAGGGTGGACGAATTTTGGTAGAGATTGAGAGTCTTCGACAAGAGTACCGCCAGTTTGGAATATCTTTTGTTGGCAGGAGGAACAACCGGGTGGCTCATGACGTGGCCAAGAAGACCCTTTCTTTGTTGCATGCGGCTATAGATAGTTTTGATTTTGATCGTTGGCTTTTTCATTGTTTGTAAACAGTGCTATCTTTTTGCCCTGGTATTACAAGTTGTCTATTGATAATAAAAAATATGAGAAACTTTCCATCTAAAGTTTTTTTTATATAAAATTTCATCTAGCTTTTTGCACAATATCAATGAGTTTTTCTACTTAATATGTTCTAGCCAGTCAATAAATTTTGATCCATATACAGGTTGCTTTGTCAAGGTAGTCAGTTCTCAATGACTAATGAATTTGTATTCTTGTACTACTTAATTTTGTACTTATTTATTATTAGTTCAATTAATCATATACATATTTTTGCTTATTGGTTAACCGCTAACCGTCATATCAATTAGTGGTTAATCAAAACTGAACTAATTAGCGCCCCTAGTAACAAGCTCTTTCATATTTATGCCATTCCATAGAATCAGCGGGTAGAACTCGCCTCCATCTATCTTGAAAATCGAGCGAATGTGTGGTATGAGTATGAGGGATGGTCATTTGGCCATACGTTCTTTGATTTGGGACTTAGCTTGTTCACCAAAGAACTGATTCCGCGATTCAGCGACCACGATCATCTCAATGTGGCTAGGGATTTCAACAAGCTTTGGCAAACTGGAACGGTGGCGAAGTACCAAGAGAAGTTCGAGGAGCTTCGCTCGAGGATGTTGTAGCTCAATCCAGCTTTGCCCGGATGAGTTTCATCAGCGGTTGGACGATGAAATTCAACCCATATTGACAATGTTGAATCCTTTATGCTTATCACTTGCCTTTCACCAAGCTCATATGGAGGAATCGTCCATTGAAGCTCGGAAGAAGAAAGTTCGTAGTTGCACGAAATGGAGGAATCGTCCATTATAATTTCAGCTATACACCACCATACACAACTTTCTCGTACACCACCATAATTCACAAGTCACGTTACTATTTTACAGAATTAGTAAACTAAACGTCATTTAATTCTGTACAACAATCATACACAATAATTTTGGTTTTGTTGAATCATACGCAACAATTTCTTATGTGTGAACAATATTGTCATTAGATATAAATAAATCAAATTATTATAACACTTTCGGCCAACTGGCGGAGCTCATAGCTACTATATATAAAAAAATTAATATTAATAAATTTCGGTGATCGCCCAATTTAATTGTTAGCGAAGCAATTACGTTACCGGCCGTCGGTTCAGACCTCCGCCAATCCCCAAGTTTCCCAAATTGCCGTTGGCGACGTCGAGGAAAGAGCGAGTGAGCCAAGAGAGAGAAGAAGCAGAAACTGGGAAGGCAGCGGATCAACTGTCGTCCTCTCCATACCAAACCCTACCCGTCAATCAAATTTGGCATTCCAATCCAAATTCTTCTTCTTTTTCAATAAATTTCGTCCAAGACCCTGAATTTTTGCCGCAGGGCGTTGCCGGGACTCGGATCTGACTAGGGAAAGCAGCCATGGATGCTCCGAGCTCGTGGGACGCTTTACGTAAACAGGTTTCCGCCCGATCTCTTTTACTCTTCTACCGGCCGTCATTTCCTTCGGTTAGCGCGTGAAATCGCGATAGAGCTGTTCCAATTCTGATTGGTATCTAAGTTGAATTTGACTGCAGCTGTGTTGGGAAATGATGATACGGGCACTTAACATAATCGGGACAGAATCAGGATTGAGCTTGATTAGACTAAGCTGACATTTCAACCTTTTGGATTTTACGATAGAGATTCCTGGTTCTCTGCATATTGATTAATATGAAGTGTTGGTTGCGAATTCGGTTCTCGCGAGTTTGCCGTAGTGCCTGACGTTGTATGTATCTAGTTCCCTGGGTGGTATGGCGGTATGCTGGGATATTGCTCTAGGTTGTGCTTGGTGTTTAACTGTAGCTACCCATTCAGTGTCCATAGGGATGAGACTCTGTTACAGAATAGAGATTGAGGCGGACGATGGGGAATATGTCCTGTACAACAAGTATGGGATAGGTTGTATAGTGGGTTTCGGTTTAGCAACTTATTAGCGCCCTGCACGTGACACAGGCAACATATAAATGAAGGATCAGTCGCCTGCAAAAGTTTTGAATGTGTTCTGAGTACTTATGACTGTAGAGGCATCGTGAGAATTTCTGTTGAAGCAGAAGGTTATATTATCATCCTATGTGAAGGTCGATGCCTAGAATAGATTAACATCATCGATAATCGCCTCTCTCCACACTAACATACTTATATGCTGCTGTAGTGAGAAGAGATTAACTGCTGAAGGAATTCTTTCTGTTGCCCATGCTATACCTTCATCCTACTCATCCCAGTTGTTGTTGTTTTTTTGTTTATCTAATGTACATGAGATCTTTCATGTGAAAGAATTGTGGATGACTATGATTGACAAGATCTAACCTTTGATTCAATAAGAGTTCTTGTTTTGGTATCTGCACTGATACTCGTCTCCCAAGAACACTTTTGTGGACACCATCGATGCTGTTTGCCTTATGTTTTTCCTTCGAGATTTTAGAGACGTTAAATATTCTACTATAAGGATTCATGGAGACCAGTGGATTGTCCATTACTCAGTTTCCATGTTCTGCACAACTGGTGCCACTTTCAATTATTGGCATAGTTTGCTCTGAATACAATTTGGCACGAGAATAGCTCTCTATTCTGCTTTTGCAACTTTGCCAAGATGATATTCTATTTCTTTAATCTGGCTGCACTATGGCTCTCATTATCTGATATTTCGTGATTTAAACAAAACCAACTACCTACCAAGTACCTCACTTGACAAATGAAGTAGGATGTTTCGACAATCATGGATTTCAGCCTTTTTCACAACCTGTTTCTACTATCTGGTTTGGCATTTTGTTTGTCTTACTAACAAATTTTCCGTGCTCGATTCAGGCTAGAAAACTTGAAGCTCAGTTAGATGAACAGATGAATTCCTATCGTAAGCTAGTATCCTCAAAAGGTTCTGCTAAAGTTGATTCTGATGAGAATGATCTTGAATCTGGTATAGAACGATTATTAGATCAGCTTCAACAAGTAAGTTTGCAGATGCAAGCTTGGGTATCATCTGGTGGGTCTGAAATGGTATCACATACCTTGACAAGGCATCAAGAGATTCTTCAAGATCTCAGACAGGTTGTGTGGCATTGTACTGTATCTTTTTTACCAGTATATGCTTTAGGCTTTGTATACATGGGATATCAGTTGTGAAATCTTTCCTTCATCTAAGGGCCTGTTTACTTTCATTTCTGTTTCCTGTTTTTGAGAAAACAGGTGAAAACAACATTTTGTCGTTTCCGAAAACAACAGGAAGTTGCACTTTTTGTTTTCATAGTTGGAAACGAATAGAAAACAGAATGGAAAATAAACAAGTTTTCTCGTTTCGATTGCCAAATTTATGACATGAAAACAGAAAACAAGAAACGAAAATGGAAGTGAAGAAACTCATTTTATTTGTTGAGCTATTAGATGTGGGATACTCTCTCTTTTTCTTCTTCTTCCTTTCAGATAAACATATCATAGTCAGATCAATGACTTTGTCTGCTCAATATACAAAATGCAGGAGTTTCACCGTCTTCGTTCGAGCCTGAGAGCTAAGCAAGAACATGCCTCACTTCTTGATGATTTCAGAGAGTTTGATCGAACAAGACTGGACTTAGAAGAAGGTGCAGACTCATCAGACCAGGCTCTTCTTAGAGAACATGCAACCATTAACCGGAGTACTGGACAGGTATAGCATTGCAAAAGAAGTTGTCACTTCTTTTTTTCTTCTTCTTCTTCTTCTTGCAATTGAATAGTTATGCTTGTTGGGTGGGGATTTTTTTTACCATTGTGTTTCCATGGGGCTGTGTTTCATTGTTTCACAATTTTTTCTTAATATTTGTGATCCAATATTTATGTTTTCTATAGAGGACTTCTGGCTTACAATGGTTGTCAAAATAACTTGGCAACTCATTTGTTAGGCTTGTATTTTCTTAGAAATTTGTGTTCTTTTGATAGGAGGCAGAAAGAGGGAAGGGGAATTAGAATGTTTTTGCTATTATGGTTTTGGTTGTTAAGAGTGGGTTTCACTGCAACATGATTTTCTAGGAACGTAGTGCTCTTCTAATACACTCATGCTATCCTTATACTCTTATCCATGGTCTTTTCAGCTGTCTCATATATCCTTGTTCTGTAGTCAATGTTCTCCTTGTCTAGTAGCCCACCTGAGTCGTATTGTAGGGTTTCATTGGCAAACATTTTTAGTGCGAAAAAATTATATATTTTACTCCTTTTAAACTAGTTTTGCTTGTGGTCTTCTTATTCCAAATCAATATTATGTTTGCTCTTCACCCTGCTATCAGAGCTACCTTCTTTCCCTGCAATGTTTTCGAGGCTTTTTTACTGTTGTTTCTGTTTTATATTGGTTTAGTTCTGTGCTGACTTCGACACTGGCGTATCGTGAATAAAAGGTTCTTTGTAAATGCATCATTCATAATTGTGCTGCTGAAAGTGTGTGTTCGTCCTGTTAAATCATTTGCATTACACAACCAGTGAACGATATCTTACAACATAATCTGGCTGTCTAGTTTTTTGGGGTATATATTGGCAGTAGGCAAGCTGTTTTGCTGTTTTTTTAAGACTCCTCCTTGGCACATGCCATGAGGGAGTTCGTTGGTTTGTGCGGGAATCTATTTTGTTTGCAAATGCATGGTTATTGTCACAAGGTCAGTTATTTACTGTTGTCGGTCCTAGGGTTTTACTTTCCTTTTTTTCTGGCGGGGAAGCGTCATTGGTGAAAGTTCTGATATGGCAGCTATTACTGTTCTACTGAAATTTCTGCTTTGCTATTGTGCTCCAGGTGGATACTGTAATTTCTCAAGCTCAGGCAACACTTGGTACCCTTGTTTTCCAACGTTCAACTTTCGGCGGAATCAATTCAAAGCTCACTAATGTTAGCAGCCGACTCCCAACGGTATGCAGAGCCTCTCTTCCTTTGTCCGTCGTCTAGGTCATCCCATACAGCGTTCCTGTTCTTGCTTGTGACAATTCAGTATATATGTTTATATTTGCTTATTGTTGATGGTTACGGATGCAGGTAAATCACATTCTTTCATCAATAAAGAGAAAGAAGTCCATGGATACCATCATTCTTTCTCTGGTTGCATCAGTATGCACCTTCCTTATATTCATTTATTGGTTGACCAAGTAACCGAAGATTCAATTTTCAAGTTCTTTCTTATGGAGAATGGAATGCGTCACAGCAATCTTGCTTATTGTTGGATTTTGGAGGATCGTCCTCTTCCCCCTGGAGTGAGTACTGCGGTTTCAGTTCACTGAAAAAACAGGAAGGAAAAAAGGACTTACAGCAGCTGCCAGTGCAACTTTGTAAACTTGTAATATTTTTTCCGTGAAACAGGAGTGATCACTTGTAAAGGTCAAAAAGCATATCCGGATTGGAAGTTTAGTGATCTTTCTATATCATGAACACCTTTTCTCCAATCCTTCATTCTCATTGCTCCGACCCGACGAAGCGACTAGGATGCCGGAATGAGTTCTTTGCAAGAAATAACCGCCATTTCGCGCAACTTCGATGACCATGACAGATCCTAAACCCCAAGATAACACTTGAATGGCTTCAGCCCGCTGCTGAAAAGACATTCAAATTTTCTATCATGCAGAGCCTTTCTTGTAGTTCCAGTTCGCTTGGTAGTTAATTGACTAGTTGCTCAGCTTCCTGAATAATGCCGCTTGCTTTGATAAAGTAAAAGTAATCATCAAACAAGACTAATGCCAAACGAGATTCCTTCTTGCGAGTCGAGAGAGACACACATGCATCGGTTGGCTGGTCTCCTTGGTGACATAGTTAGCCTATATAGCAGCACATTTGGTCCTCAGCGGCGGATGACACATTGCAGTCACCCAAATAATGTCTGTTCCTAATCGGAACTAACAATACTTATGTACTAGCGTGGGCCCCGGCCGTTTGGCCGGACGAAGATGAGGTATGAAATTTGATAATGTAATGAGGTGTATAGCTTATTGTTGTATAGTTTTTTTTTGGGCAATGTCTATTTTTTACCCAAACCTTTTTCGGATTCTTTTATTTTAACCAAACCTATTGAATTCCTAAAAATTATCCAAACGTTAACTCTCCGTCAACTTTTCTGTTAGTAATGCTGACTAAGTATGACCATAATGAGTTGACTTCCTACGTGGCGGTCATAATACCATCATTTACTATTTTTAATGAAAAGATTATCAAAAAACAAAACAAAATCTCACTCCTCACGTGGACGAAATAAGTAACGGTAACAGAATGAATGCCCAGACTTTGATAAACTATAATACGTTTGGATAATAAATAGAATTTCTATAGGTTTGGTTAAAATAAAAGAATCTGAAAAAAGTTTGGGTAAAAAATAGACATTGCCCTTTTTTTTGGGGAAACACGTGATAAAAATAGTGAATTTTAGTAGAAAAGAGACATGAATGATGCAACGAATAAAAAATCAGTCTTATGAACCAAAATCAAGTACATGTTACCTTGTGAAACAATATTGTTTCTGGTAATATGATGAGGTGGAGTAAGTTTTATAGAAACTGAATTCCAGAAAATCGAATAAAAAATCGCATATCCCTCCGATTTTCGGGAAATGAGCATCTCACAATCGTTGCTAGCTTTTACTCGGCCCGTTGGCCGATTAATTTGCTTTATAAAACTTTCATCTTCTCATCATTGTGCTTTCTGGTTTTTTGCCAAGCCATGATAAAATCTAAAGAAATCAAGAATGAACAGCACGATTTGGGATAGGAACCACTGTTCCTGTATCCCTAGAAAATGGTGGTAAACACGGACTCACCTGCCAAACTGGTTTGGATTGAGATTTTTATAGGGTATCAGAGAACCATGTGATTATAAATTAGACTTGATCAAAATGGGCCAAAACTTGAAATTCAGCTTGTTTGACCGACCCATGCCAAACTCTAATTATTCTTTATTTTTAAACTTTATATTTGAAAATAAAAAATAATGAAAGAAAAGAGATGACTGCAATTCACCATTTGCACATCACTGATTCGGGAATAAAACTATAGAATTTCGAAAGGAAACTGAAAATGTTTAGGATCGTTTTAATGTTAAAAATAACCAAATAGATCTTTCTGTTTAGTTTTTTACTAACAAATACCAAACGATTCCCTATAATATACACTATAATTTAATCATTATGATATCAAATAATTACATAATATATATTTGAAATGATAAAAATTGGACTAATTGAGTTGGTCGAAGTTGAACCATTGAATAACTTTAAAATACATTATATTTTAGCCACTAAGATATAAAATAATAGCATAGTATATATTATGCTAGAGAAAATAGCTTGTTTTAGAATGGCAAACCCATGATGTTCATTTGTTTTATTTGATGGGCAAATCCCATGTAGGTCAGACCCGTTCAACTCTTTTATTTTATGATTAGCGGTTAGCCCATTAGAATCCATGCATTAGTTTATTGTTAATTTTTTTCTTTTTAGCAATAAAAAGGAGTATTGGTTTTGCCTTTTCATATATATATTTTACCACCATGGAGAAATAAAAGGACTTAAAGAAAAAAATTGACACTCCTGGACCAGTTTAAATCCGCATGTTTACGGTAAGTTGGCCCGTTCCACAGAGAAAAAAGGAAAAAATTGACACTCCCTATTCTACTCTTCCTACAAACGCTCCTGGAGCAGGGAATTTTAAATGGGGGAAGAGTTTTTTCCTCTCTGCAATTATATGTTTTTAATTTAAAAAGATACAACAAATATACTTAGTGTGATTGGTTATGATCTTTGTTTTTCTTTAAAATGGTCATGGTTCGAATCCTAGTAAGTGTCTTTTTAATGAATAAAAAAAAGTAATTGTGAAGACCAAAATGTCCTTCCTACTTTCACTCTGGATGCAGGAAATTTGAAATGGGGCTTCAAGTTTTCTCATTTGGCTTTTATTTATTGTGTAGATTGATAGATTTCTTGCCACCATTAGGATTTAGGACATTGCTATTACTATATTTTATCAACTACCGTGAATCGCCTTTTGGAAAAGAAGCACAATGCTGACGTACTGAAGCAGAAGCACTACAAATCAAAATCATATTTGCTATTCAACAAATAGAGGAAAACTACAAATTATTCCTTAATGAATCTGGGAAATATTATGAATCAAACTAAGAGCAATTACATATTTTGACAAATGAGGCTAATGCGTTCTACAAGCCTATGCCAAGTATTCTATAAAATTATTTTCAAAATCATGAATGATTCTCTAATCCATTGCCTTCGGTTGTGGGCCCAAATGATCATGGATTTGTTAAAGAGCGATATATCGAAGATAACCTCATTATTTATTAAGGATGTAAGGATTCTCTAAGGAAAATGTAAGGAGCAACTCATTGTCTGACATTGAAGATTGATATGAAATAAATCTTATGATTTAGTAGAATGATATTTTGTTCGTAAGTAATGAAGTCTCTAGACTTTTGTGATCGATGGTTCCCGTGGGTACTCGAACTACTCCAAGAGGTAGACATGGGGTGTAATCTTCTAACTTGATCTTTATTTCTATTTCCTCCATGTCAGCAAGTCTCATATCTTTATAGAGAGGAAGTGGAAGGATGTGGATACTAGAACCAAGATCCACCAATCCCTGCTATAGATGATGGTCATCTAGGAGATAGTTGATTGTTCAATGAACAAGATCCTCCTTCTCTTCGAATACTCGAATGCATCTTTGATATCCATAAGGACTTGAGTTGATGTCAGTCTTCTCAATCTTCTCTTTCTCTAGAAGTTGCTCGAGCTTCTTCCTTGGGTACTCCATAACAGCAATGCTCTCCAACGGTGACATAATACTCTCTTTTCCTCCCAAAGCATCTATCATTCTTTGCACCATTGGAGTATGTTGAGAGACTTTTTCATGTATGGCTACATTCTTTGCCTAGGTTGAGACATCGTCTTTGTCCACCTTCTTGGCTTGATATGTCCCCTTTGTATGGGCTTGAGCAACCTCCATTGACCTCTTCCACGTCTTCTTATATCCTTTTATAGCTACCTCCCTCTTGCTTCCTTGCTTTGATGCTCCTTCTTTCTCCTCCACCATCTCACAAGTATGGGTCTTCACAACTTCTTCTTCCTTTCAAATCTCCTTGGAATGGATCTCCCATGAGTGGCTTCATAGATTTTGGATTTAGATGCTCCGAATCTTCATGAGTTGTTGTGAATAAAAGAAAAGGGGGTGCCCTCTCTTTTATAGGTGAGAGGTGGGTGGGCGGCGGAGAGTACCTCCCCTCGTTTCCTTCTTGGATTCAGACAAGTTCAAGCCCTTATGCATGTAGGACTTGGAAAAGAGGCGGCAGGTGGCAGCGGCGAGTCAGTAGTGGTTCGAACTGTTGTTGTTTTCTTTGTGGGAGACGGTCATACTTGAATATCATTCGTGCTCGAGAAGGAAATTTTGCGTCAAATGCACTTTTCTTTAGCGGCTGGTTAACGGCGAGTAGGGGCGCCACTCCTTTTTCTTCTTCATTTCTTAGTTAGCATTCTTTGTTCTAGAGGGATTCTTCAATTTCAACATCTTGGATCTTCCTTGATCCATTCTCCCTTATTTTTCTTGTGGATTTCAAAAACAAAACAAAAGCATCAAAGTAATAAAATAGAAGGGAAGCAAGTGCTTCTCTTCCTCAACACGAAATTGAAAATAAAACAAACTTAGAGATTCAGGCTATCTCCTCAATAGCACTTTATTTTACACCATTAAGTTGGATGTCAGACACGGGTTGCCTTCCATGAAGCACTCTTTCTCTTATTCCTTTGAGTTAGGCATAGCTCCTCGTCCTTTAAGGACCCCAACTTAAGGCTTTCTTAAAGTCCATCATTTGAATTGTATTTGAATTGTAGGCTCAAAGTGTGTATCATCCTTCTTTTTCTTTTGGCTTGATAATTGACTATGAAGTAACAACCACCTTAGTCTCCACCTTGCACCTTTTACCCCACACTTTTAATTTTTAATTTTAGGCATATGGTAGAGGTAACGATACAAGGAAGGACTCATGTATTCTCCTCTTTGGGTTGGATATGACACTACGCTCTCATGGCTCTTCATAAATGTTGCAAATGGATCTTCATCAAGTAGTCTATTGAGATATAGCTTGACTTCATGATACATCTCCACTAAGATTTTAAAATTTTCTACATGGTCTCCAACGTTATTAATATTATCCTCCATCTTTTCACCAAACGGGCCCTTGTAAATGGTGAACTCTTCCTGCTCGACCCTTAATTCTTCAAGTTTCTTGTTTTCCAAGGTTTGTGTAGATTATTTGAGAGGTTTTATAAGGGGATCTTGAGGGATTTCAATAAGCTTGGTTCTTTTATGCATAGAGCATGTTTGCTTGGGGTAGGTGGGATAGCTACTTCTTGCTCTTCTTCCATCGTTGTAGAGGATGATGCAGAGGTTCATTTTTCTCCAAGTACGAAGTTGTCATCTTCATCAATTTCTTCCA